TACAGACAAGCTTTATCTAAAGAGATCTGGCTCTCGAAGTTGAGAAAATGCCTCTTCGGTTTTTGAACAAGCGATCATGTCGGGGATCTGGCTCTCGAGATTCGGAGAACGGTGCCTCTTCGATTTTTGAGAAAGCAATCCTGCTGGGAGTCTGGCTCTTGAAATTCGAAGAGCGGTGTCTCTTCAATTTTTGAGAAAGTAATCATGTTGGTAGTCTGGCTCTCGAGATTCGGAGGGCGGTGCCTCTTCGATTTTGGAGCAAGCAATCTTGTTGGGAGTGTTTTCTCGAATGTGAGTAAAGGTTGGGCATTTTTGCTAGTTTACCTTGACACGGAGCATAGAGGTTGACACACGGGGACTTTCCAATTATCCAGCAGTGGTGCTGTTCCTTTACCCTTGTGGGTAATAATATGGTAGCTAAACCTTCAAAATTTATGTGTCTAAACTTTGTTAGTGTTGTTGCTATTCTTTTACCCTTCTTGGTCATAGCGATGTAGTGGGAGCTGCAAGTTTCACATGTCTAAACTTTGTCAGAGATCTTTGGCAAAGTTATATGTGGTACCCATGAGCTGATGTTGCGTGTGGAAAGTGGATGATTGAACAGTAAGCTTCACGTGCTTTTTACTTCACCAGAAATCTTCAACAGATTGCCCGTAATTTCCGCAAAGCTGAGTGTGCATGTGACAGGTGCTGACAAGGCTGAGAGAGCAGGTGTCTCTTCAATTTCTGAGATCGACCCTCGTGGTCTCTGAGTAGCCCAGCTTTTGAGAAAGCAAGCGCCTCTTCGATTTTTGAGATCGGCCATCGTGGTATTTGAGCAGCCCAGCTTTTGAGAAAACAAACGTCTCTCCGATCTCTGAGATCGGCCCTCGTGGTCTTTGAGCAGCCCAGCTTTTGAGAAAGCATGCGCCTCTTCGATTTCTGAGCATGCGCCTCTTCGATTTCTGAAGCTCCGTCGAGTGCAGATTTTTATAGAGGCTGACATTAAGTTCCAAAGTACACTTGAATCTCCACTAGTAGAAGCTCCCTTCTTACACTTCTAAGATCTTGATTTGTCCGACCTCTTCTCTCTTTAACACCTTTGAAAATGTCTGGCCCTTCCGACCGTCGTTTTGACTTGAACCTTGGTGAAGAGGTAGCCGCGCCTTCTCCAGACAACATATGGCGCCCATCCTTCTTATCCCCTACTGGTTCTCTTACCGTTGGGGATTCCGTGATGAAGAATGATATGACCGATGCGGTGGTGGCCAGGAACATTCTCACTCCCAAAGATAACAGACTTCTTTCTAAACGGTCTGATAAGTTGGTTGTTAAGGATTCTCTGGCTCTCAGTGTTCAGTGTGTAAGTTCTGTGTCGAATATGGCCCAACACCTATTTGCTCGAACCCGCCAAGTTGAATCATTGGCGACTGAAGTGATGAGTCTCAAGCAAGAGATTAGAGGGCTCAAGCATGAGAATAAACAGTTGCACAGGCTCGCACATGACTATGCTATAAACATGAAGATGAAGCTTGACCAGATGAAGGAATCTGATGGTCAGATTTTACTTGATCATCAGAGGTTTGTAGGTTTGTTCCAAAGGCATTTATTGCCTTCGTCTTCTGGGGCTGTACCGCGTAATGAAGCTCCAAATGATCAACCTCTGATGCCTCTTCCTTCTAGGGTTCTGTCCAGTACTGAGGCTCCGAGTGATCACCCTTTGGTGCCTTCTCTTTCTGGGGCTCTACCAACTGCTGAGACTTCTCCTAAGCAATCTTTGTGAAGGCCCCGTCTTGTTTGTTTATTTTGACTCATGTATATGTACATATTTGTAACTTATCGGAGATATCAATAAATAAGCTTTGCTTCATTTCAACGTATTGTGTTAAATACACCAAAGCTTTCTTCACTAAGTTCTTTGAATTTTTCTTTTGTTGAAGCTTGTATGTTGAAGCTTTGTGAGTGAAGCATGTAGGTTGAGGTAGTGTTCCCTTAATTTCTTGAGTGAGGAAAACTTCTCGGTTGGAGACTTGAAAAATCCAAGTCACTGAGTGGGGTCGGCTTGAGGATATTTTGTATAATTCTAATTATGTGTGTGCTTGTAATAGATATATGGTTTCGGCAAGCTACATGGCTTAATCTTAAGCAACTAGCGAAGCCAATCCCCAATCAAAAGTATGCATAAACCTATACTTAATAGCTTAATTTCCTCATGTATATTTTACTCGTTATATACGATCTAATTAAGCATTTCATTTTGGTCTTTATAAGGATTTCTTTCCGGGATCATATAGACCTGGAATCTAAAATCCGATATCTTCTTCTATGAAGTCTTGCTTTTGAGACTGTTTTGCAAAACATCTGGTGCCACAGGACAACAGAACTTTAATTGAATGGGTTAGTAAATTAAACTACTCTTTCCCATATATATACTCGGTTAGTTGGTTGAGACTCGAGAGAAACTAATCTAGAGGTGCATGCTTCTGTGTCGATATTTCAAGTCAATCATGCACATATTATCATGAGCTTTAACTTTCGAGCATGACAATGTGACTGACTTGAAATATCATCATAGTAGCATCCCATTACTTGAAAATTCTTCTCCACTCGGAGATGACTTTGTTCTTACATGTCAGTACTTAAAAAGTTAATATATATACACACGCTTATGTGCAGGCCCGTCGTCCATTGTTGATGAGAAGAGAATTCCACGAATTAGATGAAGTGTGGGAGGACGTAGACATGCATGAACTCTCTGCATTTCAGTGCACAAAGACAAGTCCAGAATCGCAATCCTGCATGAGCAAGGTATTTAATTAAAATCTCTACATATTATATACTCTCTATCGAGGTAATTAATTACTTGCTGATAATATATTCTTTCTCCGTGTATTTCAGATTCTATCATATCTTAAAGGGAAAAGTTTTAAAGTAATGCAATCATCGCCTCCATCATCTTACAACATTCCATGAAAGATGGAGGCAGAAGAGTTCTGTTGCAGTGTTAACCCAATCAAGTTGGTTGGCATATTATTCATGCGATACCTTGACGATGGATGCTATCAAACATCAATATAATGCTATTTGTAGTACCATATTTACAATTACCTTTCTAATATAAGTGACTCCTGTATTTGTATTTGAGATTCACCAGTATTAAAGAGGTGATCAACAATGTCGTACAAATATGGGTAAAACATGGAATAAAAAGAGTGGAACTAAAGAGAGTTAGAGAGCTGTATTGCTTATGGCTTGTATTTTCGTCTTTGTATGTGAAAATCGCTTATATACTATCACTTTTTTTTTGTCAAGTTTGTTGAAAGTATGAATTTCACATTATGAAAGATGGACTTTGTATGTGCTTATAAGTAAGGGGGTTACTTCTTATATCGCCAATTAGTTTTAGGGTAGAACCCCAACTTTTTTAATATATCAAAACAAGTTAGCATACGTGTGAAATTCAATAGCTACATGTGATCTATGTTACTCGATTTGTGTTGTCCATATGCTAGGCTTGAAAATTCATCACACGTAAGGAGGCATGTTAAGAGCATGAATCCCATATCGGAAAAATGAGAGACCTTATATGTATCTATTAGTAATTGAGCTACGATTTCTCTATCGCTAACTAGTTTTATAGCATAACCCCAACTTTCTTCAAAATTTTCCCGAGCTGTGGCTTCCACACATATATACAATTTCACTAGGCAACTTAAAGCGCAGTATGGCTTAGTTTCAACACAAACATTATATAATATTTTCCAACATCCATTGGACCAGATATTCCATATTATTCAGCACAAAACAAAAGACATGCAACAGATGCTAAATCTGGGCAATGGTATATGCTTTCTCTAAAGCAGCCAAATCAACAAAGTTGAAAAAAAAAGATGGAATCATCGAATCTTCTTGTTTTATCTTTGAAAACTTGCACGAGTCAAATGGCTGGTCTTTTTCTTCCATTTCTTAATTTCATCTGCTTGATTATTATATATGTGTATGCAAAAACATAGTTAAGCATGCAGCAGAAATTGCGAAGTTTCTCGTCTTATAGGACAATTTAAAGTACAACGACATCAAAAGAAATCAGATAGCAGCAAACTTCCCCAGAAGATAATACAAAAATAACGAGCAGAAAAAGTCCTCTTCTGGGTAGCTAGATATCTGCAGTACGCCTGCTAGCTTCCCTCAGGCAGGCCAGCTCTCACTACCATCCAGAGCCAAAAACAAAATAAGTGATATTAGTATAGCCCAAGTGCAGATGGGCACTCTAGTTCACGAGAGATTTTTTAGTGTGTCCGAACAGGGAGTAGCACCCTACATGTTAGTAAAAGTAACTAATCATTCAATTTGAAAAAAAAAAACGAAAGAAAGAAAGTAAAACACAAAGTGTAGCATGTTGAAGTAGAAAATCAAATAAATAATTGTAGAGATAAAGACGCATCGAAAGTAAATAACTCTAAAAATAAGATCCATCAAAACTTCTCGAAACAGTAAAAAACAACACGAATTCACAAAACATCACAACAAAATTTGTTTCACACAGACAATATGACCAATGACACAATATTTTAGGCGAAAAATAGGTGAGAAAGGGAGGTTTTCCGAATCGAGATTTTTTCTGAATCTTGCAGTGCAGAGCCGACAAATCGAGAAATCCAGACCATTCAGTTTAAATTTTACAGCTCCCTTTAGTCGATCCTACTGACACATCTCACACGAATCACAAGTCCAAATCTCCCTCTTCCTCACTTGAATAATCTAAATTTCTCAATCCATCGATTTCGAAATGCGAGATCCGAAGATAATAGAAATTCAAGTTTTCCTATACTTGGGGAAGGAATAGTAAACCTACAAAAGTCAAAGGGTATTAAAACGTGGAATGACCTTTTAATACAGACAAAAACCGGACTTTTCTCCTATGTGTCCATCATGTTGCCATGCTGGCTTAAAAGTCCAAATCTATTCCCTCCGCACACTATAAATCCCGTCTCAAGATAAAAATAATAATAAAAAAAACTCAAAAAATATCTTTATCGAACGAACGGCATTTGTGTGGCCTTGGCTAAAGATCCTCGCTATCCCTCCCTCTCTCTCTCCTCCCCCTCCGCTCTCTCTCTCTCTAAATTATCTGTTGGCCAAATTCTTGGTTTCAGTCCGTCGCTAATTTGTCCGAGACGAACGTTTTGGGGGCACCGCGTACGGCGCTCCGATTCAACGGAACCTCCCCGATTCTCAGCTGCACAGCCACCGTCTCTGTCTTATTAAACGCGCGCTCTCGATTTTCTGGTGGCCTTAATCAGCTGCTGCCAATCCACTTTCTTCATATTCTGCGTGGCGTGCTTCGTCTGGTGTCGTTTAAATGCTCTGTTCGGTTCAATGAGATTGCTCTCTTCCGTTGCAAATGTCTTCCGCTCCTTCCATGTCAGGTGTGTATCTCTGCTCTGCTACTTCGCTGCTAGCTTAGAAAATGTAGGACACTGATGAACTTTCGAATTTTTATTTGTTAATTTAGACTTGGTTTAAGAAAAACCTAGTTAGCTTAGCTTAACTCAGTGTACGGACACTGCCATGGCGGTCTCACCTTCGATGAGGAAATTCGATTCACTATTTCCACTGGTTTTGATTTGCAAGAACGGGAACTTGAAATTCTTGAATTTTTGTTTCTACTGGTTTTCTGAGCATCCAAACAGATAATTAGGGAATCTGATTAACTTTTGATTTTGTGTGTCAATTGCTGTAGTTTCTTTAGAATGCGTGAATGTGTGTAAGCTATCGAAAGGGGACGGAAGTGGGAGAAATGACTGTAGCGTGTTCTCTTGTGCGTGGAAAGCTCCAAGAGTCTTGACGGGGTTTCTTGCGAGCACGGCTCATCATCCTCAATGTTCGTGGTTGCCAGATGCACGAAATGGAAGAAGGAACCGGACTAATCATGTAAGTTCTTTGTGTAATGTGGATTTGCTCTCTGCCACCGATTGAAACCCAAGTTCCTTGATTAGATGTCTTAATTTTGGGTGCAAGTTTACTACTTGTTGGCCAGCCTAGCTGTTAGGCAGCACTCAAGTTTATCATGTCTCGAAGTAGATAAATTGGTGCAGCATATCTATGTAGGGATCCTAATAAGCGTACCTTCGCAAAGTGGTTAAATTTGTTTTTAAACATCTATTGGGTTTGGGGAATAGGGGGGTAAGAGTACATTTTGTTTGTGAAAGAATGAAGGAAAGAAACAATTTAAGCATGGAGCTGTGATTTAGGAGCAAAATTGTTACTTGGTATAGGTGCTTGCTAGTTTTCTTTTCAAAAACCTTACTTTATGCAATTCTCTTTAAAAAATTTAACTGTCTTCACTAGATGTTAGTGGTCTGTTGCCCAAGCAATTATCTTGCATGGTTATTAATCATAGAACCTGTTCTCTATTGTACTCTCTACAGAGATATCAGTCCTCTAGCGTAGGAGGTTGGAATTCTGCTGAAGCTTCAGATTTTGTAGTTCTAGGAAGACTGCTTAAATCAGGTTTTCTTTTTGTTGGTGGTAAGAGATGGCATCTGCGATGTTCTTCATCTTTGTCTTCAGCTGTCTTGGATGATATTTCTTCTGAAACATTGTGGGAGGTAAGGTTTTGTTATTGCCCAAATATGCATCAACGAAAATAATAGTTATTATCATACAAACAGGGAAATTTAATGTTTAAATTACGTTGTCTGTAATCTGATTGTTGCAGGATCTTAAGCCGTCTATCTCATACCTCTCACCTAAAGAACTGGAACTTGTCCATAATGCTCTTAAGGTTAGATATAAGCCTAACAACAAAGTTTAGTTCTTGTCTTCAAAATCCTTTGTATCGAATTGGTGAACATATATAACACTAGTTTTTGGTTATATAGCTGGCTTTTGACGCACATGATGGTCAGAAAAGGCGCAGTGGAGAGCCTTTCATCATTCATCCAGTTGAAGTTGCACGAATTTTAGGAGAACTCGTGAGTCTTGCAACATTAAAAATAGCCTGTATTTTAATTTTTATCACAACATTGAATTGATGTGACATTATCCGTTGTTCTAGGAGTTGGATTGGGTATCCATTGCTTCTGGATTACTACATGATACAGTCGAGGATACCAATGTTGTTACTTTCGAAAGGATAGAGGAGGAGTTTGGCGCTACTGTTCGCCATATTGTAGAAGGAGAAACTAAGGTTCTGTTCCTTTATGTGTCTAGTAATAATAACAATTGTGTTTTTTTTATGTTTTAAATAGCTTCTGTAATGTTTCACAAACCTCCTAAGTAATTGGGCATGCACTATTTCAATGTATCCTTGTGTTTAGGTGTCAAAGCTGGGAAAATTGAAGTGCAAGAGTGAAGAGGATTCTGTACAAGATGTAAAAGCAGATGACCTTCGCCAGATGCTTCTAGCCATGACAGAGGAGGTAGATCTATTTCTTATCGTTCTTTCAAATTTTATGTGTTATAATTGAAACCATTTAGAAACTAAAATACTTGTTGCCCCAGGTCCGAGTTATCATCGTCAAATTAGCTGACAGACTCCACAACATGCGTACCCTTTCACACATGCCACCGCATAAGCAGGTGTTGTGTTGTCTTTTTAAAGTATATTGATATTTGTATTTAGCTGGTGCCTGATATGGTTTGATATTTTGTTGTGTCCAGTCAAGCATTGCACAGGAGACATTGCAGGTCTTTGCTCCTCTAGCAAAGTTGCTTGGGATGTACCAAATCAAGGTATACCATTTTTTTGACTTTCGTTTACAATTTTATTCCCCGTTTATGCTTTTCTATTATCAATATTCCAGTTCTGCAACTGCCAACTGCTGATTTCACCATTGGAACCTAGATTATCATCTCGTGTAGCATAAACCTGTGGACCTGGTTTGTGATCGCTTGTAGCTTAAATAAGTAGTTATTGATAACTAGTCATCAAACTCTAAAGTTTGAATATTTAGAGTTGTGACTTAAAGTTCTGTCCTTAAAATATAGTTTATGCAATACAAGTTTCTTGTCTTGAAGTGAGGTGAGGGTTTCACAACTGAATTTCAAGTTTATGAGTACTGATATGATTATAATGATAAAGTGTTCTATCTTATTTCATTTTCATATATGATGCTTCTGTTAATTTGTATTCTGAATGCCCGCATATTCCATCTTGCAGTCGGAACTTGAAAACCTTTCCTTCATGTACACAAATGCTGAAGATTATGCTAAGATCAAGAGAAGAGTTGCAGGCCTCTACAAAGAGCATGAGAAAGAACTTGTGGAGGTAATGCATTAATTTGTTGAACAACAGGGTCTACGTAATGCTCAGGGGACATTGTTGATTATATGGTTATTGTTTTGGCATGCAAATGTAGTAGAGGCTCCCAGTTTTAATTTCTCAACACTGTGTTATTGGTGATGTTTGCTCATCAAACCTTAGTTATTTGTGCTAGGCAAACAAAATTTTGTTGAAGAGGATTCAGGATGATGAGTTCTTAGAACTTATGGAGGTGAAAACTGAAGTTCGTGCCGTGTGTAAGGAACCATACAGGTCAGATCATAAGTCCTACCACCATTTTCTCCTTCTTTTTTTGTGGCCTGTTTTGTATTTTCTAAACTCATTACAAGCATGATTCTCTTTGACTTTATTATATGATTTAAGTACTGCTGTGTTATCTGGTACATGAAATACAAGGACATTGTCCAAAGAGATCTTAAAGTGGCATGGAACATGACCTATCACTCTTGTAATCCTTGTAATGAGATGTTACATTCAAGCTTAGAGTGTCATTCTTTGTCTGAGAATTTATCATTCTGCTTCATATTTCAGCAGCCAGTTTCTTGAGGACTATTTTTGGGTCTAAAATAGACTGTTCTTGATTTTTGCTTTCAGTATCTACAAGGCCGCGCTCAAATGTAAAAGTTCAATTAACGAGATCAATCAAATTGCACAGGTTTGTTCTGATATTTCCTTCAGCTAACTTGAAACTTTTGTTGAGGACATTTCATGATAATTATTCATATTTCTTCATTGAGTTATAGCTTATGTTCGTTATTACCAGCTTCGAATTATAATCAAACCAAAGCCATCCCTTGGAGCTGGACCTTTGTGCACCCCACAACAGGTATATCCTTGCTCATGCCAAGATAGGGAATTCTTTACTTACTTTGTAGTCTGTACTTAGTATGTCGTTGAGCTTTCCTTCTATTGTTATCTCATCAGATCTGCTACCATGTTCTTGGGCTGGTTCATGGAATCTGGACCCCTATTCCTCGGATGGTGAGTATGTCTTCAATTACTCTTACAAGATTCAATTTAAGCAGTATAAGTTATTTGTGAATTTAAAAATTCGTGTTTATCTGTTCTGACAGATGAAAGACTATATTGCCACCCCAAAACCTAATGGCTATCAGAGTCTCCATACAACTGTAATTCCTTTCTTGTATGAAAGCATGTTGCGGCTAGAAGTGCAGGTACAATCACATCATTTTTTAGCATGCTCATATTTTCTCAAAGTTTATAATAAGGTTTTTACAGAGTTGAATTCTCTCCTGCATGATTGTTAGGTTTTTAGGAGGTATTCATTACATCACTTGCTTTCTGTTTTGGCAGATAAGAACAGAAGAGATGGATCTGATAGCTCAGAGAGGAATTGCTTCTCATTATAGTGGGAGAGGATTTGTTACTGTTTTAATTGGGCGTAGTCTCCCTAATGGTAGAAGTTCAAGAGGGAAGACTGTTTGCCTTAACAATGCAAACATTGCGCTCAGGGTATTGTACCTGTGTGCATTTGTGATTTATGATTTGTTATAAGTCCTCTTTGTCGGGATTTCATGGTAAACTCCTTTCATGTCTACTAATCTCATGAATGAAGTCTCTTGTTTCTTCCAGATTGGCTGGCTCAATGCAATTAGAGAATGGCAAGAAGAATTTGTTGGCAACATGAGCTCTAGAGAATTTGTTGAAACTATCACTAGAGATCTATTAGGTAGTCGTGTGTTTGTGTTTACTCCCAGGGGAGAGGTAAGAAATTGGATTGCTTCATGACTGAGATTGTTAACATAAATTTTCACACACCAATAATTTTGCTTCATTGTATTGATAGATATCGTTACAATATGCAGATAAAAAATCTTCCTAAAGGAGCAACTGTTATTGACTATGCATACATGATACACACTGAAATTGGCAACAAAATGGTAGCAGCAAAGGTAATTTGCTTACATTTGACCGATTTTATATTATTTTTTTATTTTACATTTGTGGCTTCATGTATGGAATTAAAACTAGGATGACTTTTTTTTGGTGCAGGTCAATGGAAATCTTGTTTCTCCTATGCATGTACTTGTAAATGCAGAAGTTGTGGAGATAATCACTTATAATGTCAGTATTTGTCCACCATCATCTTGTATTTCCTTTCTTTAAATGTGTACAATAAAATGTACAAAATCTTAACAAACACACCAGCACACGAATGACATAGTAAAATTCTAATAGCTTGCTCATTTATATGGACATGTAGAGGAGTTTATATGACATGTTCAGCATTCTGTTATCTTATGCTTGTACATTTAGGGATCATAATTTTCTTTTTCTTGTTTCTCCAGTCACTTACCGGAAAATCAGCTTTTCAGAGGCACAAACAGTGGTTGCAACATGCAAAAACACGTAGTGCCAGGCACAAAATTATGAAAGTATGTTTTGTCGGTTGGATGATGATTTATTTTTGTTTGTCCTATTACTTCTGCCTTGCTCTAATGATAAACATTTCATTGTGATTGTAGTTCTTAAGGGAGCAAGCAGCCCTGTCTGTTGCTGAAATAACAGCCGATAAAGTAAATGACTTCATTGCTGATTCTGAAGAAGAGATTGAAGCAGAAGAGCTCCCAAGTACCTTCAAAGGATACAAACCTATATGGGAAAAAATGATGGGGAATGTTGTAGAAGTTTCATTGCCAGAACGAAGTTCTATAGATCCGTTTCAAATTACAAATGGAAGCGCCTTGGCTCCCAAGGTGAATGGGAAGCACAACAAGAATGTTCAGCATGTAAGTTTAAAGGCTGCGGGGGAGTCCTTGTCGCAAGGGAATGGCATTGCCAAAATGTTGCAAGCTAACATTCCAATGTGCAAGGAAGCCTTGCCCAGTTTAGAAAGTTGGCAGGCCAGCAAGGTTGCATCGTGGCATAGTATTGAAGGGCACTCCATACAATGGTTCTGTGTGGTTTGTGTTGATCGAAAAGGTTAGCTTTTTTTACTAAACCATTGATAGATTCCCTTTAGAGGTCGCACTTGGTGCGATGGCAAGTGCCTTCGCCCATAAGCGGTAGGTCTCGGGTTCGAGACTTGGGAGCAGCCTCTCCATAAATGAGGGTAAGGCTAGCCGACATTCACCTCTCCCAGACCCTGCGTAAAGCGGGAGCCTTGTGCACTGGGTGTGACCTTTTTTTTATTGATAGATTCCCTTTGTTCTACCTTCAAGGTTAAAAACAGTAGTGACGCATTTGCTGCTAGTTGAGATCCAACTTGTGCAAGTCAGCACTCAGTGGGCACTTCTGATTATTTTTCTTTCTTGAGAAGATCAGTGGAGATATCTTGTTTACTACCCTAAACTCTTTTCAACCTACTTGATTTACTTTAGTAATGATTTACAAGGATTCCCGGGACAAATTTTTTTCTTCTAATTTACCTTCATAGATTGAGTCAATCAGTACCATGTGGTCTTATTAGTTTCAGTTGATGGATGTAGACGTCGTCTGCATATCACTCTAGACCTGTTTTAACTTTAAAACAATAATTTCAGGTATGATGGCTGAGGTTACTACAGCATTGGCAGCTGCAGGCATTACAATTTGTTCTTGTGTGGTGAGTGGTTGGAGCTGGCAGTTATTTGCTTTTTATGTTGATGCACTCTCTTTTATTTCTGTAACACCTCTACCATCAATGACCAGGCTGAGATTGACGGGGAAAGGGGAATGGCGGTCATGTTATTTCACGTCGAAGGAAATGTGGAAAGTTTGGTAATATCTCTGACATCCATCTCTGAACCCTGTATTTTTATCCCATGGTGATTCTTTTTGTGCTAACATGAGAATTTTTCTCCCCTCTCCCCTCGCCCCTCGCCCCTCTCAGGTTATTGCATGCTCAAGCATCGATATAATTCTAGGCGTATTGGGATGGTCTACGGGTTGCAGCGTACCTAGCTCAATGGATAATCTGCAATATCTTGAATGCTGAGCCATTCATGGAGCCATCAACGCTCAATCCGCTCAGCCGTTGCTGGCGTGGTTATCAAGTTTTGCCTAAAGAAATCTGAAATTCCGTCATGTTTTAGAGTTTTGTTGGAGACTCTTGGCCAAATAAGCCGGCAACATAAGAACGAGGGAGGTCTAAATTCAGGGCGGTGTATATAGGAAAGGGAGTGAATACGTAGGCTTAGTGTAATACACTTTGTAAAGAAAATTGTGAGGAGAGAGGACAATGAGAAAAGCTATACACAGCGACAGAGGGTTGTACCAAATTTGCTATTCATATTCTTTTGTATAATTTGTAGTTGAAAGGGAACTACTCCTCCGGCTCTCTCATAAAACTCACGGGAGAAATTTTACTCTCAAGCAGTATACGACGACATTTTAGGAGTGTCAATAACAGCTTCGACAATATGCTGGATTAATTTAGGATTGCTTGAATGGTAGAGTACAAATTAAGCTTGTTACATTTGTTTATGAAATGCTAATTAACTCTAGGCTTTTTAGGTAAAATGATCTCTGAGATTGGTAAAACTTCTCACTTTGGTCTCTGACAATGAAAGTTGATAGAGGTGATCCTTGAGTTTATCGACCGTAAATAATTTTGGTCCTTCTATAAAAAATTTATCAATATTCTCATTAAATTATCATGTGTACAACCACATGACTAACATTTTAAGGTTATTTTAGTCAAACCAAACCCCCCACTTGACGAGGATTTGATAGGTTTTTTACGGAATGATCAAACTAATTTACGGTGGACAAATTTAGGAATCACTTCTATTGATTTTCAATGTCAACGACCAAAGTGATAGTTGTGTCACTGTTATTGAACCATTTTGACTAAAAACTCTTAAAACTCTAGCAACCAGAAAAATTAAAACTGATCAATTACAAAGTAAAATCATTTGCCTCCCCACATCTTCTCACATCATTTTTCTCTCTTTCCACGTCTCTGTGTATTCTGATCTTCGAATTGACTAAAGAATAATCGACGGGCAAAATTCATTTCTCATTATTATTATTCAAATCATCGAAAGTAGTCTCTTATTTAGTAGCCATTATTAGGGACTGAACTCTGGGTTTGTGGTGATGATGTGAAAGTAAAAGGCCCTACAGTATATAGCTTGATGTTCTTGTCATGGAGGAGGCGATATGAAGCTAGCACAGCACCACTGATTCCGCTGTTCGAGTCCGTCGGAATGTTGCAAGTCTCCGACGAAGAGAGTTCAAGAAAGGCTTTGCACTTAGTGAGCTGCTTCTTGTTTTCAATCTCAGAAGGACATATTGTTGCAAAGAAATAACCCTTTGCGTCAGTTGCATCACCTAAGATGGTGACTGGTGAAGTTTCCAACCCATATTGGTCTACAGCCTCGCACGTTATCCTGGCTGCCGCTCCTGAAATATTAATTGAATGATATTAAGGTTAGAAACTAAGACCGAGCACAAAACTATATTATAAACTACTTTAATTTACAGAGAGAGAACCAAACTCGCCTTCGAGCGGAAGGACTTCATGGCCAGATTTGCAATAAACAAGTCCTTGAATGCCCAAAATGGCATTGGTTGATAGTAGGTTGTTCTGTTTTTCTGGTTTGGGCTTCTCATACTGATCAGGATTTGTGTTGCCGTAGCCGCCCGCACCAGCCGCGGAAGCCGTCACTGCCACCAGTACCAAGACTAGCAAAAAGGTTGCATGCAAGAAATGGTGATAAAAAACCGCCATTGCGAACCTTATTTTTTTCCTTCTCCTTTTAGCAAAATTGTAAAGAAATTATATTGAAGTATGCTTAAATTAGAGAGATGGATGGAAAATGAAACCATGTCCTTTTTATAGAGAGGGATAAATCTGTTATTTTTTGTGACATAAAATATATGAATTACAGGAACCAACTTGGTTGCACGACATATAGATATGAGCAACGTGACTGCCAAACTGCAAATTCTTTCTCCACGTCCTTAATTTTTTTATGCAATGTCTCTTGAGGTTATTTTTTATAGTTATTTGGCATCGAAATCAGATTTTGTTTAGATAATGTCTCAAATGATTAGGATTTGGGATATAAAAAAAATCAGACCAACCAGTTGACCTGTCTACATGCAATCACTAACCTCCCATCGATTGTAGAAAACATTTATGATTCTAAACGCTAGTTTGGAATTAGTTTAACTAAAAACTTTTTTTTTAATTTTTTTTAGGTTTCAAAAACACTTGAAACGTTTTTTTTAAGATTTACTTATATTTTTATTAAGAATTGGTTCAAAAAACGTTTTCAAATATTTTAAAAACACTTTCAATTTTCAAGGTAGCCCTGAATGCATAACTAAAAATAGTACCTAGTTGACCAAAGCAAACAAAACACAAAAAACTAATCATTGTCAAGATTGCAGAGATACAAATTAACGGCTCATTATTTATCACATTTACATTATCTCAAACTTGCATTTTATTACTTGGACAGCGTGACAAGTATTGGTGTTTTATCAGAAAAAGTAATTGTGCAAATTCTTATTATCGAATTCTTATATTCTTTAACAATCAAGAGTCTAGATTCAAATATTGTCCATAAATTTGACGTACAAAATTTGAAGGTTTATTAGATCGAAAAGTAGAGGTGCAACTCGATTCGGGTTAAAACAGATACCCCAAATCTAACTCAGTTTTAAGCTCTAATGGTAGGGTTAGAAAGGAAGCTATAAACCTGGCCGAACTTGAACAACCCAACCATTTTTGGAATAGGGTTGGGTTGAGTTGAGTCATTGTCCGCTCGAAGCAACTCGAATATGAATTTCACTATCTGTGAAGTAGACTATTTACATTCGTTCTTTGTAAAGGACCAATTAGTATCAAGAATGTTAGATATTTATATTAAGAACGTGTTGGAGAATAGAGTCACATCGGACAGATAACAAAATATAATTAATACAACTTATATATGAGATATCTCACTTTTAACATCACCGATTCATTTTATGATAAAACTCACACCTAGCGATAAGTGGTTAAGTAGAGACAATATCAGTTATATTAGTGGTGGACTTGCATAGATCTACAATGTTTATTAGAACGTATGTTGATTTGTATTAATAATTGATAACACGTCGTTAAATTTTACCCTTGACATGTTATCTAGCTACCAATGTTGTAGCTAAATTTTGTTGTTGACATGTTATCTAGCTACAAATGTTATTGACACCATATCGACATTCTGTTTTTGAATAAACACGGACATCTGTAAAGAGAAGAAGTGGCATATACATCACACATGCGTTTTAAAACAACTCTATATATTCTTCAACAACATTCCTCTAGTTAGAAATCTGGAAACTCAAAAGTAGTAGATCTTATGAAATAATAAAGATATTATTGCAATAGCAAAACAAATGGAAAAACATTGCATATGGTCCTCTAATAGAGCAAAGCGCAGCTAATTACAAATAATCCCAAATGGTAGAGCACAAAACCTCTTGACATTAATAATGAAATTAATCAAGCAAAACCAACAACAATGAAGAATCAAAATTCCAGCTCCAAATTAGTAAATGGAGAAAATAAATAAAATCAGGCATAACTATAGCGTGATGGCTGACTGGTCAGGACCCGAGTATTATCCTTTAATTAATAGCCACCATTAGGAACTGGTTTAGGTTTTGAGCTGCAGAAGAAAGGCCCAACAGAGTACAGCTTGATGTTCTTGGCACTGAGGGTACGATAAGAAGAAAGCAGATGACCAGTAATTCCTTGGTTAACGTCAGTAGGGACTTTGCAGGTCTCCAATGGAGAATAATCGAGAAACGCCTTGCACTCTGTGAGCTTCCACTTGTCTCCAAGCTGCGACGGCGACAACGTTGAGATGAAGTAACCCTTTGCATCAGTTGCACCACTCAATATGGAGAAAGGAGCAGTCTCGTAACCTTGTTCATCCTCAGCCAAACATGTAATCCTTACCACAGCTCCTACGTTCCAACCCAATAAAACATTGATTAAAAATGTCGTACCCAGTGCACAAGGCTCCCGCTTTACGCAGGGTCTGAGAGAGGTGAATGTCGGCTAGCCTTACCCCCAATAAAACATTGATTAATTAAAAAAATTTATAAACTAGTTGTAAGCCTGTAAATATGTTCAAACTCATGATATTACGCTAGGTCGTGACATATCAACCATGTCCTCCACCTATACTATAACACATGGATTACACGTGAGAGTGCAAACATACCACAATGTAAACCCTAAATTTTGAAAGTTACGTTAAGAGATTCTTCATGATACATAATGTACCCTTAATTGTCTAAGAACGTAAGATGCATGAAGATGATTTAACATTATATTAGAGACTACCTTTAATTGGGAAGCTTTGAAGGCCTGATCTGCACAAAACCAGCCCCTGAATATCAATGGTCTGAGGTTTTAGCTTTGTATATACTTCTGGTTTTGGTTTTCCGACATTCGGTAATTTTGGCATATCAACCTTTGGAAGTTTTGGATGCTCATCAACCTTTGGCTTAGGCGCACCGGAGCTATAATCCGTAGCAGAGGCAATGGCTAGCAATGAGAAGAGAAGCATGGAGGAGGAGGTGGCAAAGAGGAAACGGGAGGTGAGAGCCATTGTTTGTCACTCTTGTTGTAAACAATGTATGCACAAGGTGAACTAAAATTGGATGCTTTGTGAGTTGAAGAGTCACTACCGTATCCTTATATAGCAATGGTTTCAAGTGTTTTATTTTTCTTTACTATTTTTAGAATTGTTGGCAGATCAGAATGGTTCAAGTTTTTGATATCCAGAGTCTGATTAATTAATATTGTGTTCGAGAGAGTTTACACGGAAGCACGTTGGTAAAGATAAATATCATAGGTTTGGGGTCAAACACTTCAATTTTTCTTCAAATAATCCGAACTACTCAGTATAATCCAAACTACTCAGTAGCACGGAAAATTAACAATCAAGATTAAATTGTGAAAATAATATTTTTGTTTACTTGTCAATCTAATTGATTTAAAGTCCAAATTTTTGGTGAAAAATGTGCTTACTTAGTACTACGGTCTAGTGATATTCCTCTTCAATTGTAAGTAAGAGGCCTTAGGTTCGATTCTCGTCAAAAACGAATTTGAACCATATTATTGTTAGCCCATCGTGAGACTTATGCTACTCCCCTACCCCCTTAATATAAATAATATTGTTTGTTCCAAAAAAAAAAAAAAGTCCGAATTTTTTATGACTTACTCCAAACACTTATGTTCAATCGATCATATCGTATCTAATTAAGCATATTGTAGGCCTAGCACTGCTGCTTTGTAAACACATATCTCCGAAGTGTTTTGCATGAATTAAAAATGCTTTAGGCGTTACAAAAATGTTTTAGGATGGATTTCGTAGAAATTCATAGAAACTATTAAAAATCGTGAGTACTAGCTCACAATGTTTGGTGAAAAATGTGACTATTAGTTTTGCGAAATTTTTTCTGTATGTCACTAAGAATACTTGTGTTCCTGTTTTGGAAAATAAGTTGATTTTTCCACTTGCAAATAATGTATCTTCATCATAGAAATTTCATGATTGAAACCACTCAATTTTCTTAGTCTTCATTTGAAGATCAACCTTACAAAAAGTCATTCAAACCGGAGTTCGTTTAATCATCTAAATATATCAAATAAATAGACAATTCATCATGAATATATTATTTGACACCTACATCATTGATTTATTCAATACATTTAGATGACTGACCGAACTCTTATTCGAATTATTTTCCATAAAGATGATCTTCACACAATTAAATTTCCTCGACATTAAGAAATATGGTGCAAGTCATTTGAAAGCGCTTATCATTATTGAGTCATATAATTAGGTATTTTTTTATTGAAACTTAAGCCGAAAAATAAAAAAAGCTAAAAAAATGTACTGGTGAGTCTCACTGAGATGTCTCCAAAATGATCTGAAAGTAAATTTTATGACAACTTCAATAGAAAATTCCTCGTTGTTTCACTTCGCATTGTCGACAATAAGCAAACATAAAATATAAAATACAATCCACTTGTACCAGAAGTGACAAAAAGTTACATTAAATTAATGTAAATTTGTAATGTCAAATGAGACTCGACGAACACGAAGTGGTGGGGATCTGGATATTTCAAATTTGGCAGTCAATGACTCAGTCGGTTCAAACACAACAACAACAACAGCAAACAAAAATAGCTTTGAAGTCTTCCCTAGTTAGCTGGCTGTTGTTTCTTATCCAAGTCAACGTGGATGATGGATGCTGGATTATGCCCACCACTTTGAAATTAGAATACACATACGATGTGCTCAGCGGTTTCTAAACATGCTTTGCTTGCATCCACTCTTTCGAGTCTCGAGTCTCTCCTTTCATGTTTAATTATATATATTTACGTACCAACTTGATCAACAACTTGAGTTAAAGCGAATGAGGATCCTCTTTATAAGAATTCCGAAGATCTTCTAATCACATTTGTTCATCATATGTCATGCGTAATTTTCATCAGGTACTGTTTATATTTAATTTTAAATAAAAAAATTTACAATGATTTCTAATTGTACGATATATGATGAACAAATGTAATTGGAGGATCCTTGAGATCCTCACAAAGAAAATCCGAAGAGGATGCTCATTCAGTTACAGCTACTCCACTTCTTTCACGGTAGAACCTTCAACATACCCATTCAAACTTTTACCAACAATCACTATTTTATTTTGGTTATTTGCCCCACCCGATTGCTTTTTAACTGAGAAACTTCCTACAACTAGGATGTCAAATTAGTTGTATCCCAAGACGCTTATGTAATATCGTATCAAGAAGGAAAAAGGTGGGAATTGTCCCAAAAAGAACAAAGAAATGAATAGGGCGGAACTTTGGTCCCTCAGCAACTCGGAAAAATCAAGGCACCTTCTTCAGTAATCCTAGCTCCTCGCTCGGAGACTTGGGAATCTCCTCTTATATGCTATTACATTTCGGCACTCGGAAGATTCGTGATTACTAAGTGAGTTGAATTTTTCAAGTCCACAACCGAGAAGCATTACTCACTTGGGAATTTGGGGGAGCATTGTTTGTACCATACTTCACCAATCCCGAAACTACCAAGTACTTGTCAACTTTATACCTTTGAAGACCTACTAAAGGGTTCATGATGAGGCATCCCTGTCAAAGTACATAAGTTCCTCTCCAATTAAGAGACCAAACATAATGTGACACGTGTCGACATTAGAATAAAACTCCTAGGGTTTCATATCGACCACAAATGAAAACATGCATGGGACTATCCTCAACTATAAAAGGAGATCAATTAATCACTAATGCTATTATTCTACTTAATTCATTAGTAGGGATATTAGAACTCACTAATAATGATTATGCTTAAACCTTTGTATCATGTAAAATCCACATTATTAATGAGAACTCCTCTACTCTTGTGGACTTAGCCCCAACTTAAGGTGAACCACGTACGTCTTGTGTTTGTGTCCTTATCTCTATCTCTATCTCTTTGCATATTACTTACACTTGGTAACCAAAGCAACCTTGCGAAAGTCACACTTTGATATTTTACGTTGTTTCAAAATCAACCCGATTTTGTTCATCAACAAAATGTATCACGCATATAACTTTCTTTCCACCACTGTAAAATTACTAAAATAGTCATAATTGAACTCACCCATAATAAATTAGAAAATAATTGTATAGGGTATACCACCACTAAGAAGGAAAAAAATCGTATGAATTTCAAGTCAGTATTTGCAAAGTCGAGTGAGAAAGCTAAAACAAATACCAGAGTGTAATAGATTTAAATTAGGGTTTTTATCACAAATGGTCCCTGAAATTGACCTACTTCATCAAGATGGTCCCTGAAATTGAAAAGCAATCAATGTAATCCCTGAAAACGGATAGCGCAAATCAATGTGTTCCTTCCGTTAGAATTCCATCAATATTTCTGCTATGTGCTGACGTGGCACATAAATAGGTCCCACAAGTCTAATTAAATATTACCACGTGGATTAAAAATGTTTAAATAATAATTTTTTAAGTTTTATATAATTAAAAATGAAAAAAAAAACAAGAAGATGAAAAGTTCGTCTTCTTCTTCGCCTCCCAGTGGAGCAACCACCCCAATCCTCACCCCACCCCGTCGCACATGTAATCGCAACCAAACAGATGGCCCAATGCCTCAAAGAAACCTCCCTCTTCCAACTCTCTAACATCCCCACCCCCATTTCATGCGTCCAAAACTACCAGTCCAAGCTTTCCTCCCTCTCACTCGTTCCTAATATTGTTAACTACTGCTTTGACCCTCTCCAATTTGTCATCACTACAGTTTCATGTGCGACTGGGTGGGGCGAGCGGTTGAGGTTGCTTGAATGGGAGGGGAAGAAGAAGATGAAGATGAACAGTTCATCTTCTTCTTATTTTTTTTTTTCCTTTTTTATTTTTAAGACTTGAAAATAAAATAAAATAAATTTAAAAAAAAAAAAAAGAAGAATAATAAGATGCTTCCTTTATACGCCTTGCAATCCCACACTGAGTGACAACAAGACGTCGGTCTTGACCCGCAACATCTCCTCCAGCAACGCGTCGTCGAGCATCAAAACCAGGTAGGAGTAGAAGCCCCTGATGATTTTGGAATTGTTGTCAGTCGCAAATCTCATCTTGCCCTCCTCGTCCATCTCAACCTACAGCCATACCCGGGCCGTGCAACCCATGATGTGACATCCCATATCGCCCAGAGGAGTGGATACTCTAAGCCTTGTATGTATATTTCATCTCTACCTAACACGAGGCCTTTTGGGAGTTCACTGGCTTCAGGTTCCATCGGAACTCCGAAGTTAAGCGAGTTCGCGCGAGAGCATTCCCAAGATGGTGATCCACTGGGAGGTTTTCGTGTGAGTTCCCAGAAACAAAACCGTGAGGGCGTGGTCGGGGCCCAAACCGAACAATATCATGCTACGATGGAGTCGAGCTTGGGATGTGATAATTTGGTATCATAGCCAATCCCTGGCTGGAAGTATGCCGACAAGGACGTCAGGCCCCTAAGGGGGGTGGATTGTGACATCCCACATCGCCTATGGGAGTGGATCCTCTAAGCCTTATATGTATATCCCATCTCTACCTAGTACGAGGCCTTTTGGGAGTTCACTAGTTTCGGGTTCCATTGGAACTCCGAAGTTAAGCGAGTTTGCACGAGAGCATTCCAAAGATGGGTGACCTATTGGGAAGTTCTCATGTAAGTTCCCAGAAACAAAACCGTGAGGGCATGGTCGGTGCCCAAAGCGGACAATATCGTGTTACGATAGAGTCCAGCCCAGGATGTGGTAGGGGCCCGGGCCGGGATGTGACACATGACTTGCTTCAAATCAACCAAACTCGAATCATCAAACGGCAGAAGGAGAGTTGCATAGTGCAACAGGCGTTTAACCCTGTTGATTCGCTCGGGGAGTTTAACGCAGCCGTTCGAGCCTTTCTTGCACTCGTCGTCATTGTCGTAAATGTAATCACAGCCAAACACAACCCCACCAGGAAGTGCTGAACTTGAAAGTGAGTGACTTGTTGGGCTTGAAAGAAGCGGAAGGGGAGGAAGAGAAGACTCTAAGCGCCCTAGTTGTTGCAAAGCAAGCATTTTTTATTTTTTATTTTAGTTTTTTATTCAAAAAATAATATTTTATTAAATTTGTGG